TAATTTTTATTGCGGTGTTGTTGTTGGGATGTGGTTGAAACATTGGAACATATAGATGAATAATATGAGACCTTTGCTAGGTGAGTGTATAAACCTATTTTTAGAATTTTATTATGTTGGTTACAAAATACATTATAAATACAAATATTAACTTAGATTTAATGAATAAATATCAAATAAACCAAGGTAATATTAATAACGTTTTATATATTTTTTACTAGCTATTAAAACTTTTGACAAATTTCTAGAATTAGATCCAGATAGCTTTTGTACTTTAATTAAGAAATAGGAATAAAATCTACAAAAAGTTTTTTAAATCTAAGATTGCAAAAAAAAAGGAAAAAAAGCAGCTGTTGGATTTATTACCTTCTTGTAAAGTTAGGTAACAAGTTTGCTAATAATTTGAAACTTGAAATTAAATACATGTAAACTTAAAAGATAGTATTAAAACTTTGTAAACATGGATTTTGTGTTGATTTTAAAAAATAAGTCTTAATTAATTTAATAAAATTTATTATATGGAGCATGCTGCAACAAAACCAGACAAAGTAAATATTGGTATTATCAAGAATTTCAGGGATCAATATGTTTGTCTAACATCACAATTATATTATCATATAATGTGATCATGATATTTGTCTAGACAAAAATAGCTAATATGAAACTCATTTACATAAGGTCTACTATTGAATACAAGAATTACAACACCATTAGAAGTATTTTAAAGAAAGAATAAGGTGAAAAAATTGCTCCTTACATTTTCAAAATAAATGATACTCAGACACTTGAATCTTATTTAAGAAAAGAAAGGATTACTTATGAAATTTACCAAGAAGAAAGAAAAATAATAAATTTTGAAAAAAGAAAACATTATGATGATGCATTATTACCTAATAAGAAGCAAAAATCTTTAAAAGGAAAATAAATATCACTTTCTTTGATAGTTGCAATAAATTTTAATTTATAAGAGGAAAGTATTTCTTCAATTACTTTCTTATTTTCAATCAAAATCATCTTTTAGTCTCTTTAACTTCAATTTGAGTAGTTAATTGACCATTCTGTTAATCTTTTAATTTTCTGTTTTCCTCTTCTAGATGATTAATTTTTTCTTCTAAACTCTTTATCTTATCCAATAACTCTTGTTTCTGTTTTTTATTTCACTTTTCAGATTTTTCCTGAAACTTGGCTATTTCTTCTCTTTCAATTTTTAATTCTTCTTTGGTAATTGATAACTCTTTTTCTAGTTCTCTAGTTTTATTTTCTAGGCAAAAACTAAAGGCTTATAAAAGTAATTCTTTGTCAGAAAGTGGTTTAATTGATTTAGCTTTTAAATGATTACAAAACATCTGTTTCTATTCCTTTTTAACCTATTACATTTCTCACATCATAGAAGAGTATTATTATCATAATTTTTTTTACATTCATCACAGATAAAGATAATGTCAGAATAACCATCAGGAATATTACAAACTATCATTTGATGAATAGCAAGAGCAGTATTAAAATTAAAGAGAGTTGGATCATCAAAATCTAGAAAGCAGAAGTTACACTCTTGATCATCTCCCTGGGCTATTTCCAGAATTCTATATTTTAATCTCATATTGGCTTACTTGTTCTTTTAAACAATAAAAGTCTGGAACTTCTTTTTAGTTTTTTTTTTACTTTATTTACTAATTTTTTAAGTTTGCACAATCTATTTTCTTTTTGTTCCTTTGGTAAAGATGGTAATTCTTTGGTTGCTAAATAATCTTTTCAGTTTATTTTCTGATTTTTAGCAGTTAAATTATTTTCTAATAAATCTATTTAGTCTTGAAGTTTGCTCATTGCAGCATCATGCTTCAACACAGTTTTAAACATTTGTTATTTTCTCTATTCTATGATTTTATTTAGTGCTTTTTCTGCCTCTTCTCACTTCATTCATACTTTATCATCTAACTCTTCTACTCTTGCTTCTAATTCCTCCTTTTTTGCCTCTAACTCCTTAATCTTTTTTCATAGTTTCTCTTCTGTTTATAAAGTTTACTATTAGTTCTGCTTCATTTTCCAAGATAGTGTAATCATTCTGAACTTAACTTATTAGAATTATTAATAAATCTATCTAATATTTCTTCAATGGTAATGTTATTAAAATAAATTATTTTACAATTTTTGGCTCATTCTCTAGTTTCATTAGAATCTATTACCATTCTTAGCTTGCCTTCATCCATCTATTTTTTGTTTAATTTTTTATATCATCTTGTTCCAGTAGAAGCATACATGCTAACTCACCTTTTTCATCAAGAGACTGACTAGTAACATGCCAGATTTTTAGTTTAAGATTTTCTTCTTTATCTGCTAATTGCTTCTTTAAATTTTCATTTTCTTCTAATAGTTCTTTATTTACTTTTTTTTGTGTTTCTATGATGTTTGTCATGGTTTTACTTTTTTTTTTATTCTTTTAATATACTTATATCCTTTTTATAAGGGCATATTAAGATTAAGTATATAAATTATTTTAATACTTTTTACTTTAAAATTAACAATATTTGTCAAAAGATTAAATTTAATAACAGTAAGAAGACAAATTAACAGGTATGATAAAGTAATGAAAGTGTTTTTATTCTAAATATTTTATTTGTTACCAGTATAGAATAGTATTGAACAAGTAATATCTTTGTATTCATCTTTCACAAATAGGCAGATATTTTGGTAAAGATATTCTTATTTTTTGTAATCCAAAAGGGGTAGTGTTAATACTAAAATAGATAAAGTTCTAATTTCTTCAAAAATATCTACTTTTCTGGTTTTCAATAAATTGAATTCAACAAAAGGTCCATTTAGCAGTTTTCTGAGCTTTGACTATACCAAGATTAGGTACTTCAAAAAGTAAATGTTGATATTTCTAGATACTTGGTAATTTCTTAAAATAAATTCCTAAAATTGCTTTAATATCTAAGTATTGAAAACCTTTTCCACCTTTGCAACATTGAGTTCTATTCAATCCTGTTAGACTAGACTTTTTTATTACTTCAACCACATAATTCAGACAGTCTACTCTGATCCTTCTATAGAGTTTTTTAATCATTTCAAAATTACTATCACATTTGAATTTAGTATATCCAGAAATCATGAAATTTAATTCAATACTTTTATAATATCCACAAATTACCAAATATAAATAAAACCAAATGGTAGTGTTATTTTTATTCTGTCTACCAGCATTATTACAAGTAATCTTTAAATGCTTTTCACCTTTATTTAATCTTTTAATTCTATCAAAAATCATGCTAAGAGTTCTATTAGGTCCATTTTCTATAATTTCATCTTCACTAAGAACATAATTAATTTGTTTCCTTACTGCTTCATTTTAAATACCAAATAAATGAATTTTACGTGGACTAAGATAATAAATTTTACTTATTTGTTAATCTAAATGTGATACATAAACATTTTGGACTCAATAATAACTATAATGAGCAGTGGTATCAATACTGTAATATTGTATTTTACCCTTTGAATAATTTTGATTAACTAATTTTCTTTGCTCTTTTGCTAACTTGGTGTTTTATTATAATAATTTCTTTCTACTTTAGCTTTGAATAGATGTTCTTTAAATCTTTTGAGCAAATCTTTAGCTTCTTCTTAGCGAGCATTATAATGTAAATTATCTCTAAAATGTTGACAAGTATCACATAAGTCAATCCTTAGACTCATAATTTGAATTTCTGATGTCAATTGATATTATAATTTTCTGAATGCATCATATTTCAAAAATTTTAAATTACTATCTTCTTCTAGACCAGCTAGAAAATATCTGTACACTGATTTATAACTCATTTCAACTGATAAGTATATAACTAATTGAGTTATTCTATTGATACTTCTTCCTAGACTTGGTAATCCATGGACTTCTGTATAATTTTTCAGAAAATTCTTTATTACTTCTGCAACATTTTTATTAATCACCATTTTAGTTTTTCATTAAGACATCCTTTTAATATTACCATAAATTCTTGATAAAGGACCATTGTTTATCAAATGATTTCTAATGTTTTCAAAATAAGTTTTATTAATTCCCAACATATTAAGATAAGTTTTTTGACAAAAAGGTGTATTGTGATCCCAATGATATAAGTTCATTTATTAGATCTGGTTTTCTTTTTAAGATGTTTACTAGCACTTATTAATCCACCATCTATTGCTTTAAGTTAGGCCATTAAAAATATATCTTGTTCTAATTTAGAAAGAGCTTAAAAAGATTCTCTTAACTCTGCAAATTATTCTTTGAGAATTCTTGAAGAGCAAACACAATTACATCCTTTTTCTAAAAAATTAATTGCCTTTTGATATTCATTAGAATCATTATATTTATTACTTTTTATATACACTTATCCCTATATACAGTATATTATATATTACACAATTAATTTGTAAGCTCTGTAATCTTAATTTAATATTAGATGCTACACTATCTACAGAAATATTTTTATATGAATTACTTTATTTAATATTCTAAATCTAAAAACCTCTACCATATGCAATTCTATTATTATCATAATATTAAACATTAATAAACTAAATTAACTAGATTACATAATAAATAATTAAATATAATATTCAAAATAAAAAAAATAAGTAATTTAATAAACAAATATTAATATTATTAATAGTTAAATAAATAATCAAAATAAATTAATATAATCATTTTGGTTAAAAATGATGTTTACAAATCTTCACCTTTTTTCATTATCTTATTCACTCTATTCATATCATTTTCATCTTTCAATGGCCTATCTAATATATAATATTATTAGTAGGTAAATTATATAAATTTAAATCACAATAAAAGAAAATAGATCTTTACCTTTTCTTGTCATAAGTAGGAAATGTCATCTGACGTAAAATCTGTTGATGATTGAATAATAATTGAATGGATTAATCCATAAACATAGAAGATTCTAAAATAGGTTTTTGTATTCTTCAGTAAGATTGAAAGACCCCAATCTATCAATAAGAAGTTGATTATAAAGTTTGTCTTCAGATAGCTTGAATATAGATTGAAAATGAGTAGTGATTGTTCTAAATGGATCAGTATCAAAGATAACTTTTTTCCTATTATAAAAATATAATTGTATAAAAGATTCTTTCTCATACGCTTATCCTATAATACAAATAAAAATTTTGTTAACTAATATTTTTTTCAGCATATAATAAATGCAAGTAGACATCTTCTTACCAATATTCAAATATATTCCTAAATTATTTTTTCCAATACATTTTTCTAGCTCTTCAGTGAAAACAATCTCTAGTGAAAGTGATAGTTCAGCTTTTCTCCTCATTGTGTTTTGGAATTGCTTATCTTTATAATTTTTGACCTATAAATACAATTATTTTTTAACTAATACAAATTTAAACTAAAAGATGTATCTGAAATACCTGAATTATAATTGTCTCAATATTATTTTTATTTTATGTATAATAGGAATCACTAGATCAACATCTTCTTAGTTATGTTAACAAACTATAGCAGCATGTCACCTATAAATTTCTAAAAACATTTGCTTATCTGGCATGTAATCAAGCATAACAAAGTGAGTAAAATCAATTTGAAAATGTTCAAGGTGTAAAAATTTGTCCTTTTAAAAATCTTTATTGAAGAGTTCCTGAAGAAAGTCCAAGATTGGAAGGTGAATGGAAAAGGACACCTTTATATAAATTCAAGAGTGAGATTATGCAAACAAATGTTGAAAATAATTCTTATAAACATTACTTAATAGATACCTATTGTTACTAAAAAGCTTTTGTTTTGCAAGACAAATTATATCTTGGAATCTGATTTGATCTTCTATATCTTGCTTAACAGTCCAAAAAGAGCCCTAAAGAGACTAACTAAATTGAACAATATTATATTCCAAATCATTATCTTCATGTGAAAGTTTTTGATAAGCATAACTTTTACTTAAAAAAATGCACAAAAAAGAAAAATAGCAAACCTTAAACAATCATGTATTGAAATATAGAAGAATGGTTTACAGATACTCAATTTATCACGTGCCTTTAAATTAAAATAAAAAGTCATATCACTCAATTTCATGTATAGGAAAATATATATTCATAGTCTCATATTGAATACTTATTGATGGATCATCTTCCTTTAAAGGTGCTAGATTAACAACTGAGAAGTTAGTATCTGTAAGTATACCATATGAGTATTATCTAAGATCTAAGAGTGCTTTACGAACTGCTCTAAATCCTAGATTTATTTTATTTTTGTTAACTAACAAAGAAAAAGAATTCAAATGTGTCAATTAGTTTATATTGAAATTTATTTAAAAAACCATATACTTACCATCATAAAGAAAAGAAGATGCTTTATCAAAAAAATTATTATCTTTTTAAAGTTTTTTTCTAAAATCTATTTATTGTCTTTCTGCTTTTGTTTCCAATCATAAACATTTTCTCAGAATTCATTAGCTAGATTCTGTTAAAAAGCAAAAGGTTAAGCATATTATATATTAAATAATGGTAATAAAAATAATTATCTTACTTCATCATATAACAAGTCTTCAGATTTTTTTTCTAATCCTATCTCACAGAATACTTGAATCATCGACCTCAACCAAGAAAATACCACAGTATGAACTTCATCTATATTCTTCATATTCACTAGCTCTTAGTGTATAATATTGCTTTTTAATGTAGCAGGTGGATGTCTAGTTGAAGTTTTTGAACGAAAACACACATATATTAGTGGGTGAGATTTAGCAAGCTAGCAAACAGCTCTAGTTTTTTTCATAATCAGATAATTGAATGACTGACAGATAATTATAATAGCCTTCTGAATTAGTAATTACATTTAACTGTTCTTTCAGTTCACATATGAAATCATCATTATCTTTATAATCAATGCTGAAAGCTCTGCTTAATTCTAATGTAAGTAATAAATTAGTATTAATAAGTAATAATAAATGCTTTAAAATTATACAAAAAAGACTAACATCTGATAATAAGCCTTTGGTTGTGAAAAGAGATTCCCAACTCATACTTTCAATTTCTGTAAAGAAAAATAACAATAGTAAGAAAAGTAGTGTAGAATTGAAAATATAAGAATTATCAAAAGTTGCTTACCTTCTCCTAAAATAGACTGATTGATAAAAGCTAGCAGAAAGAAAAACTACAAGTTAGTTAATGTTGTAAATGGTATATCAAACAAATAAATAAAATGAAATGGAATGAATAAAAAATAATTTTTTGTATATTTTTTATGCAATTTGTTCATTACCTTCTCTCTACTGAATTCTTTTAATGCCTTTTCCCATTTCTCTACCTGCCTCTTCCAATCATCCTTGTTCTTCTTCAATTTCTTCTTTTCTTCAATCAATCTCTTTATTTATCCTTCTTACTTCTTCTTCTGTTCTTTATTCTTATATTCTTCATTGTCTAATTTATTTTCTAAATCCTTTAACTTCATCTCCCACTTCTTCAACTTTTCCACTGCCTTATCTAATCTATTATTTGCATATTCTAATTCTTGTTTGACTTGTTCTTCTTTTTTGTCGCTATTTTTAAAAGATTTAAAAAATTTAAAAATTAAAAAAATTTTTTTTTTATTGATTTTATATCGTAATTGTTATAATTATTATTTCTAATGCAATATTTTGACCAATGATAAATTAATGGACATATGACTTGGAATTAAAAAAATTTTTTTATAGACAATGACAAAAAAAAATTATTTTTTATTTTAATTCAACCAATAATAAAAAATACATAAAAATATAAGTTAAAGAATTGTCAAAGCACTTGCATAGGAGGAAAATACTTGGACTTAAAGCCATTTTTAAGTAAAGTATTACCTATTCTTTAGGCACTCTGATGAAATTCAACTTTCACTATTATTACTACTATTATTATTGATAATATTATTACTAACATTTATATCTTTATTGTTTTTATTATCTTCTTCAACTTCATTCTTCATCTCTTTCTTCTTTTCCTTTTCAACCCATTGCTGAATTGCTTCTATTGTTTTTTTTCTGGAATTGGTTTTTCATTGGTAGAAGTTTTTTATTATAGAAGCAGCAATTTCCTTTCCCTTTTCAAGTAATTCACGAATTTCAATAGCCATTTCAACCCAGTCTTTTTGTCAAATAATTGTTTGAAAACCTTTCATAGATTTTTGATTTTATGTGAATATTTTTTTATCATCAATAAGTTAGTTTATTTTATTTTTGAAATAGCTTTTTCTTGGTTCTATTTTATTGATTATTTGATCAATTTTTTGATTTATAATAAAGATAAATTTTACAGTAAAATAAGAAACCAAGAAAGAGTCCAATTAAAAACCCACAAAAAAACTCTTTATCGAATATAAGCATTTTTTTAAATATTATTATGGATGAAAATATTGTGTAAATATTTATTGATTATTTGATTGTTTTAAACTAAAAAAAAATAATATTGTGTTTAATGATGATTATTAGAAGTTGTTATTTGAATATTTTTTTTTATCTAAAAATAAATGTGTGAATATTCAGATAATTTATTACAATTATTGAACAATTCTTAATGAATAAGTAATTTAATTGTTATAAAATTACAAAAGTTAAAGTTGAATTAATTTTATATCTTTAAATATTAATTTACAATTGTTAGGAATATATAAATAAATAAAAGAAAAATGAATGAATCTAATATCTATATTTGTGGATAAGCTTATAGACTTCCTGAAAAGTATAATCCATAATTGAAAGATAACTACTTAAATAAATATAAAATAAAATAAATGCAAATTTCCTAAATAATATTATCTATGTTCATCAAGTGAAACAAAAATAAATTTCTTCACATTATGAATATGGTAATAAAATTTAAGAGCTAGTCAAATCTCCAAAAAAATCTAGAGATTGTTACAAAATAAACTAGTGATTTTTTTTACAACAAGACAGGATTATTTATCTCATTTGCATAAAAGAAAAAGTTTCTTTCTTGTATATAGTAAAAAAAAATAAATTAAATTAATATTGTAATAAAGAGATTATTTTTCTTCTAAGGGTTTTGCTTTTTGTTGAATAATAGCATATCTTCATTCTGCTTTCTTTTGCTAACATTTATTATTTTTCTTTCTTGGTAAATTTCATAAGTAATCCTTTCTTTTCTTAGATAAGATTTAAGTGTTTGAGTATCATTTATTTTGAAAATATAAGAAGCAATTTTTTCACCTTTTTTCTTTTTTTAAAATACTTCTAATGATTCTGTAATTCTTGAGTTCTATAGTAAATCTTATGTAAATGAGTTTCATATTAGTTATTTTTATCTAGACAAATATCATGATCACATTATATTATAATACAATTGTAGTATTAAATAAGCACTATTGATTCCTGAAATCCTTGGTAATACTAATGTTCACTTTGTCTGATTTTGTTGCAGCATGTCTCATATTTTATTTAACTTTAAAATTAATAATAATTTTATATTTTTGCTGTTTATCATGTAATTTGTTCTATATGTTAATCATGTTATTTAATTACTATTAATAATAACTTTTATTATAAATTTGATTCTGATAATTTGATATTTAAAATTATATTATAATAAAAACTTATTTTGTAATAAAATTTAATACTAAACTATTAAAAGAATTAATTTTATTTATTAAATTATTAAATTCTATTTATATTAATTATCTTATAATTTTAATATAATTAATAAATATCATTAATAAAGTTTATTAGATAAAACTTAAAAGTTTAGCAGATTATTTAAAATTAAAAGTAAAGTTAAATTAAAATTATATAAAAACTTATAAAAAAAATAAAATTATATTAAATTCTAATTAAAAATTAAAAATTTAAACAATTTTTTAAATTTAAAAAACAACTTTAATCATTAATAAAATTATATGATAAATTTAATTAATAATTAATAATAAATTTTTAATATAATATTATTTATATTAATATATTTTTCTTTATTCTAATTATCAAAATAAATTATAAATTTATTTAATAATCATAAATTAAAACTTTTATTTAAATATAAATTAAAATTAAAAATATAAAATAAATTATTTAAAATATTTTATATATCTTAACTTAATTTAAATTTTCAGATTAGAATAGTTTTAAATTATCTATTTATATTTAAACTTAATAAATTTATAAAATCATTATTTTAAATTCTTTAATCAGAAAAATATATTTATGATTAAATTATAAATTATAAAATATTTTAATTAAACTTTTAAAAGTTACTATTATAATAAATTATAATAGAAGAATATTAATTAAAAAATCAGTTAATATAATATGACTCATATAACTAAAAATTATATTAC